GGAGAGTGGGCAGGTTGGAGACAATTCCAGGAACATGTTGTTCTCCCCTCCTCATCCTGCCAGCAGCCACTCTGTGCTGGAAAAAGCTCATGAAACACAACAGGAAAGGAGAGGTTAGCTACAGGGCTTGCTGAAACACCCTCTTAGATATACTGTAGAGTTATCTCAGTGTTACATCACAGAATCATTTCTAAAAGCCTGCAACAGGCTGGGCTGAGGTCCCTGGACGTGGTCACAGTGCCACAGGAGAGGAGTTGGGGCAGGCTGAAGACAAGGAGCGAATCGTTTTCCCCCTCCATCAGTCCTGCTCTATTTCTCTTAAAACTCAAAGTAGGATGGGGGGAACCTTGAACCATACACAATAGGTTGTTGGTTTGGGTGGTTTGCTTACAGGAGGCTGGAAGGCAGCTGGAGTCAAAGCAGCAGATAGATGGGTGCTAAATTGGTTTTAGAGGTCTTTGCAGAAATAGTCATGGTCTCCTGGAGCCTCTTGGGATCATCTTCGCACAGATAAAAGAAACTCCCCTTCTCCAACAGGCCCACAGAGTGAATCTTGCTGAGAGAAGTCTAAAGAAGTACTTTCAGAGGGATTTTGGTCCCACTGCAGGCCAATATTTTGGTACAAGCCTGTTTCTTTCATCCCTGATAAGCCTCGTGGAACAGCTCTGTCCCATCCATCTTTGATCTTTCTGCATCCACCTGAGAAGTCCATCCTCCAAGTCACTCCAGACGCCCTCCCCAAGCCTCCGAAACAACAATTACACAAAGGAGACATGAGGGATGAGGCAAAGAGAGTCACTAAGTGGAAACTTTCTATTTAAATAACCTGATGGCCTAAAATAAAAGTTGGGGCAGCAGAAAGCGCTGAAGAATAAACACGGGCAAAAGGTTAAAAATCCTTGGGAAGGTACCATCAAAGCGATGCATTGCAGATTATGGACTGAGCAAGGGGGAAGTACCTCCCATGGGACACTGCCTGCAAAAGTGGCCCACCCTTATTAAAGCACTTATTTTTCACAAGGTGGCCTGGGCCTGGCCCCTAGGACTCACAGGCAGGCAGGAACGTCCGCCTCGTGCCAAGCTACCAGCCAGCACAATTAAAAGCTTCAAGCTAAACATGAAGGGGCAGCCTGCTCCTTGGAGCTGTTCCCAAAATAACCCCATAGGCATCGGAGAGAAGAACACTTAGAGCCTTGCCTGGACACGTGTCTAAAAATCTCCAAAAATAGCTCCCGCTTCCCCTTTGAAAAACACTGCGGTTCCAGTGCGTCACAGGAACTCTGTTTCTGCTCAGAGAAGCCACAAAATAAGTGAGCAGCCCAGAATTGATCTATGAGCACATCTGGACTAGACGAGATCAGCCTTACGGAGAAGAAAAAAAAATAAAGATTTTAAACAGCATGTGTCAAATCCAGGGACCTTTATTTCTCTGGAATGGAAAGAATTTGCCAGCCTGGACAAAAAATTGCAGGCGGCGATTGTACATTCTTTCAAATAAAAAAAGAACACACACACACGAGAGTTTGGCTCCATAAATTTCTGTCATAAGAAACAACTTTGAATTGTACACCAAGCTTTTTACAAAGCATCAATGTTAAGATGTTTTACCGTGCTCTATCACATTCTTGGCCATTTATACAGAATATGCCATACCAAATGCTACATCAGCTTAAGACGTTTTTAAAAATTAGTATTAAAAAGATACAAAGGCATGTTGGCTTTCATTTGGGTTTTTTATTAAGACATGGGACTTTTCTTTGTTTGTTTTCCTAAGGAAGTCACTAAAAAAATATAATAACTTAATTCGTAAGGACAAGATTGGTTAAAAATCCAGCCTTGCTTGCTTGGCAGCCTTCTGAGCTCGTACCTCTGTTGCTTCCATTAGTCTAACAGCACCGCAGGCTGCAGACGTGTCCTGCGGGGCCTCAGCCTGCGCTCCAGATCTGTCCATGCTCTCAGTTACCGTTTTTGTTCAGAGTTTTTGCCGCGGCCAGGAAAAATTCCCGGCCAAACGCTAAAAGCGATCTTCCGCCAAACAGGGGATTTCAATCAGGGCCAATTTCACATGGGTTTAGCCCTTTGTCTTTTGCCTCTTTGTACATCCTTTGGAAGTCTTTAAAACGAGGGGCACAGCCTAACCTGGCCTCCCCAAAGTGCATGCGTCCTGTGAAAAGGAAGTCTCCGTCTCCTGGTTTCACCCCACACTCCAGCAGGGTCTTTATTTGCCCTCGCCAGTTCCCGCTCTCCCCCGTGAGCTGAAAGACTTTGCTCTTCTGCCTGTACAGTTTGTTGACACCGACGTGAATGATGGATTCTTGCTCTTCTGCCTTGTTCGTGACATCTTGAATAGAGCCTCTGATCACTGGAAGCAGAAAAAGAACGTAAGGAAGAGTTACCCAAAACCCCTCTGGAAGAACCGGCTCCAAGCTCAGCCCCATGTAAGCAGGCAGCTCAAGGGGAACCGATTTCACTACAGCGGCCCCAGTTTTGACCCTTTGCTATTTTTAGAGTTAAGTTTGTATCAGTAACCTCCAGCATATATTTGTATTTGTTACGGTTTATATTTGTAACCAAATATACATAAATTTGCTGTCCAGCAAAGGGCACCCATGTATTAAACTTAAACACAAAAATAATTACATCAGAAAAATAGCATCGATCATGATAAGGAGTTCTAACAAGAAGATACATGCTTAGAGCTCCCTGACAACATCCTTTCTGCTCTTCAGCCATTACAGACACCAGCTAATATTAATTTCCCCTTTAAAAAGGGAAGCACGGAGAATTATTGAAACTTTTGGTCCTTCGTCAACAGTCCATTTCAGGGCAGCAAGTAAAGGCCTCTCCTAGATACAACCAAGTCTTTGAACTTCTAGTTCCATTGTGGTTGCTGGGCCCCATCCAGCTGGGCACATGGTTTGGAGGGCCTTCGCACCATGTCCTCCTCCCTCGCCCATGTGCACAGCCCCTTTCAACAGCATTTACTGGTGGTGGAAGTTGCCAAGTGTACATAGGTAGCCATCGGTGCTTATGGATGTCACATTCAAGTGAGCCATCCCAGGGGAGAAGGGACAAGGGAAGCCGCAACTCACCAAAATCACTAGTGCAGACAGCCAAGAGGACTTCTGTGTCGCTGCATGGTCGGCAGGGAGCTGGAGAGAAAGGGTCAGAGTTAGCAAAGGACTAGAAGACAGTAAATAAATAAGCCGGTATTTAAGTTAACCAAAACCAGGACACACACACGCACACAAGACATGAGGACAAGTGGCCCAAAGATCTGTCAGGCATCAATAATGGTACAAGAAATGGAAGCTAACCCTAGCCCGATGAGATTTCTGTACTGAAGTAGGAATATGGATCTCTTTAATGCTCCTGCTGGGATGTATTATCTAGCAAACACCCCCCACACTTGCTGCACTTATGCAAAATATGTTTTGATACCGCGTGCATTTGCAGCGTGCTCTGCTGTGAATTCAAAGCTCTTGAAAGGGCTTTGAAGATCGTGTGCCTTTTAAACTCTGATGGCAAAGCTTTTTTCTTACAATTTCTATCAAGTGTTGTTGGGCTAGTTCAGAAACCATTTAGTCGATCACCACATCAAAGAGCCAGGAGGTTGGGGGGGGGGGAATGGGGAAAGAGGGGAGGAAAAAAACCCAGCGCATGTGTTTGAGGGCGTCAAGGCAAGGCGGAAACTGGAGCCCATGGCTGTTAGAACTCAAGCAGCACAAAGACCATTTCCTGTACTGCTGGAAACACTTGGATATCTGCACTAATCTAATCAATGCAAGAATGCGGCTCCTCTTTGTACTCAGCCAGCTACTTCTGAGGAGAAGGTACTGTAGTTGCAGTACAGATGTTTCTATAATACCCTGTTGAGTTCAGGAATTTGCTTACTATTAGGGTCTGCCCTGCCCAGCGATGCTAATTAAGTCTGTCCGCTGGCGGCCGAAGGATCAGAGCCCACATCTTTCACTTGGTGTCATCTCAAAGCGGCCCTTACACATCAGTCAGAAAAATGAAAACCCATCAAGCGTGCTGCTCTGCCTGGATTAGTAAAGGCAAAGACTACAGCAAAGCAGGGCTCGCACTGGAGAGGAGGCGAAGCATCGGAGCTAGAGCTTATTTCACCACGCAGCCCACAACTGAACCCCAACCTGAAGCTACCCCGCTTCCCCCCGCCCCAAAAAAATGTAGGTTTTGAACCTCAATGTCTAAAACACTTAGCTACCAGATTCCCAAAGAATCACACCCTTCCTCTCCCCCCTGCCCGCTTCCCGGAGAGGTTATCCATTGCGCTAAGGAGTAGATTTAAACCAGTCTAAACAACACGGAGCTGGTGCCTACAACGCTCCCCAGCTATGAGCCTTCCTCTGTTAGACAGCACAAGCCATTCCTTAATGTAAGACACGACAAATCTCTTATTTTTTCCAAGGTCCCAGAAAGGCAGTGATCCAGAAAGAAGGATTATTGAACCAAATCCACCAGATTTGCTCCAGTCAGATGATTAATACGCAGTGTAACACGCTGTTTAATAGGATTAAAGAGAATGTAAAATGCACATTTCTGGGCAGGGATATTTGGAGGAATAATTGAAGAAGGTTAAAAAGCTCAAAAAAAGAGACAAGGAATAGGCAAAATAGTTTTGTTATAGCATCTGGATTGATCGGGCATTTCTATTTAGTTAAGTCTGAATGCCTCCAGGGCCTTTAGAACCGAGTCAGCCTTTACCATCCTTCTTTCCCCCACATACCATTTCAGCTCTTTTTTGGAAAAGTTTGGAAAGTGTTTAATATCATGAGAGATACAGAGCCAGCCAAAGCCTGGACGCAATTGGAGCACTATAATAAATTCAGTCGAAAGGTATTTTAATTTTTAGACTGAAAATATTTTGATTAGTGGCTAGACCAAACATCCAAGTGTCATCTGACAGAGGAAATTATATTAGTCACATAGCATCCTACTACGGAGTTGTTTCATTGGTGGCACCTACCAAATTCACCCAGGGCAAATGCCCCTCTTCCCCAGCCTCCCTCTGCCCAAATCGAGACCCGAATTAGATCAACCAACGGGAGGGAACCTGCAGACCTGTGTGAATCCTACAGCATTTTCACATGGACAGAAGCTCTAAAACAAAGCACAGCTGATGGACGTCCTCAAAATCCACAGCTGGATTTCAGACACTGGATTTGAGGTATTTTGTTCGGCAAAGATCTAATAACAAAAAGGCATCTCGGCCTTTTTAAGTCTGAGTGAAAACAGTCTTGGTTTAGACCAGACATCTCTGTAGTTTGTCCAACCCCATCAGAAAGTTGAAAAACCCAAAATGACTAAGCCATTTTTGCTCTCAAAAGGAGTGCAACACAAGCAACAGCATTTAAGATGAAAACCAAAATACATTAAAAGTGGTTCCTTCCATTTAAATAGACTGACACTACAGTAAATCAATAATTTTAATTGTGGACTGTAGGCAAAATCCTGCATCCCTTTTAAATGCAAAAGGAAATTAAAAGTGCTCAGCATTGCTCACACTAGATCATTACTTAAAACCTACTTCAGATCCATGCTGACTCACAGCAGTTTGGTGGCATGCAAGCTCATTTAACAACCATTTACCACCACCCATCGCTTCAATACCAGACATATGAAGAACAGAAATCCTCTTCTGTGGAACAACTCCCACATCTGCATTCACAGAGTATCAAATATATCTTGCAAGTGGCAAAAACAAGGTATGCAAGCACAGATGGAAAGCGAGTCGTGAAGGATTACTGCCGAGGTAAATGGACCATTAAAAAGCAAATAACATTCACTCACTCCAACCAAAGCATCACTCCTATGCAGTCCCATAAAAGAAACAAAATCCTTAGGAGGAGGCAATGCCTACGCTTTCTTTTGAATCACAGCCATTAAGGAATCTGTGTGTTTATGCCGCAAGTTAGTGATTTTAGCTGCAGCTCAGCGCTCATTCACTCTGGGATCAGGGGCAGGTCTCATCCTCCATCAGTAGGTCAAAACGACGCACACACCTCAGGCTAAAATGGGAAGCATCTTTATAACTAAAAAAAGAAAACCGAAAAAGGCACTTCACTGATGCACAGCAGGTGAAGATGTTCATTTTCTAGGGAAATGGGCCCGGTTACTAAACAAGACGGCTGTGTTTGCCAGGTGCCCGACTCCCCGGGGACGTCTTGAAGGCTGCCCAGGTTCTCACGTCCAAAGGCAAGTCTACGAACTTGCAACAACAACAATATCAACGTCAGCTGCTCTAATTCCTTTAAACTCGATAAGCCGAAGAGCCTTAATTCATACAGCAGCAGGGGAAGGGGGAGGGAAAAAAAAAAGAGAGAAAAGCAACGTTTTATTGAAGCCCTCTAAAGCCCAGATGCCTATAACTCAACTCCACCGCCGGTGGCATAAAGCCTGCATTGTGCACGTCGGCTGCCGACTCTCCTGGGAATGCCTTTGATGGATTTTGACAGTATCCTGACCTGAAGTAACCTGAGGCAGCCCTCTCCCTCTACCCCCCTAGCCCAGCGCCTCCAAAGGCCTCTCTATTCACCTCCCCGCAGAGGGAGATGTAATTACATCATTCCTCACAAGCCAGCAGTCATGTCCCAGCTGCTTTGAGCGATTTGCCCTCTGAACCTGATGTTACCGAGGAGGATGTGGCGATACTAACAATAGAGTGCACTTGTTGGCCAACAGCTTTGTCAAACACGTTGCTGGTCCTCTCCGGTCCTCTCCGCGGGGAGGCAGAAACACTCAGGAAGAGAAGCAGGATGTGCTCTGAGGAGATGCCATGAGCTCCAGAAGGTCCCCAGCTCAGCCAGTACCAGGGAGTAGAGTTGTCTAGCAAGGATCTCCTCCAATATCGGGGATGGACTTAAGGGCACCTTTAGTGCTGCAGTTTAGCATGAGCCTCCTCTGCCTTGAGAGCTGTGGGCTGGTGTTGCCGCCCTCTCTCAGCACACACACACACAACTCTGCTCCTTCCTCCTTTGGTTTGCGACATTTGCACGCAACCGTTCTATCCTCTGAAAATAGGAGAGGGTTATTTGAAGGGCCATTGTCACCGTTTAGGATGACAGCTCCCTGCAGGACATGCTGGCTCTGGCTGCAGACATCACAGAAACCACATGAATGGGCCTGATCTTCTTTTGAAACTTTTGTGTTTCAACAGCCACCCATGGGTCTGACTGACCTTACCTTACCCCAAAACCAGCTTCTAACCCACAAGTAAGAAGCCTCCTCTGTCCACCCTGAATTTCCTCAACACGCTTCACAACCTCATAGCTATCAAGAATAGATGAACCAGGCTGCAGGTCTCTACACACTGTCCGAAAGCTCCACTTACTGAGCCCAAAAGACCTCCATCCACCCTACATCTCTGGGTAGGCTCTGCTGAACATATATCACGGCTCCAGCAGCACACACAGGAAGAGAGACACCCTTTAAGCAGAAGTGAAAATGTTTAACACAAAGTAATTGCAGAAAACCGCTTTACCGAGGAATACCCTTTGGTTTTATTAAGAAGCTTGTACACGCGTGCGGTGTGGTAGAGGTGTGGATGGTGGGGGAGGGAAACACAGAGCCGGTTTATCTGTGCTTCCAGTTTCCGTGGCATACATCACCCACACGTTAGTATTTCTGAATAATCTTTTGAAGAGCAATCAGACCTTTTAAGTATCAAAAGCTACTGAGGAGGCCCAGGCAGGGTTGGAGCATTATTTTCTGTTAGTTCTAGGTTTAAATCTTTTGATTAAAACAAGCAGTCTTTTCTCTTGCATGCTCAGCAGAAGACATTCAAATGGGTCTTGTCGCGGACCAGGTTGATTTAAGCTAAGCCAGCCCGTAGGGCAGCACCTCAAGCCGTACCAGCGTGGGGCCACAGCAGACCCGTCTCCCAGATGAAAGCTCTCAGCCTGACATCAGCACTAGTTCATATGGAATAAAAAAAAAAAAACAAAAAAACCCACCCACGCCCTTCAAATTCTTGTAGGCAGCTCTGTAACTGCAACCAGCACGGAAAGAGCATCATAGGATGAGTCTCCTTCCTGGAAACATGGAGTGCAGGCTTCTGAGAGCAGATTATAAAAATAAAAGATGTGGTTTCTCCAATGATGGTGCATTTCGCAGTCATTTTTCTGAATCC